AACCCTCAACCAACAAGATGTGGAGGGATGATGTGCACGATCCTCTATCCAGACCTGGCTAACATAGACCATACAGACGATTTTTGGGACCATGGATTCCAAAATTATAATTGTTGTCATGCAGGGTAAAGTTAAAAAAGAATCTCTGGATCCGGAAGGGCACAACTGTGGTCCTCTGTGACTTCCCCATACCACCAGCTCCTTGACAAACAGCCCGTTTGCTATTCTCTCCCAAGACACCACACAGCTCTACCAACAGTAATAGACCACACTGCAGCTTGTGGATGACAGACACCACCTCCCTTTCTCCAATGTCCCTTGATACAAAGGAAAAAGCAATGACTGTACAAGTGTCACCGATCCATGCTGCTTGGCTGATCAACATCATCCCAGGCAGAGACATACCACAGTTTCTACTGAAGGCAGCAGGAGCAGCTCTCAGCAGCGGAATGCCCTGCTTTGTCCCGAAATTGAGCACAGCCCTCTCACCCTTTGCCGTATTCCCACCCGCCTTCCTGGCTCCCAGCCTTCAGCCCTTTAACACCCACAGTTTTTTCCACTGTTCTGTGAAGCGATGAGAAATCCCCTGCCAGAGGACATTGTTCAAATGGGTTATTGAAAAGAAACGCAACTCCCTACTCCAGGTGAAAAAGCTCCTTCTTTTCCCCTTGAGGAAGAAGGATAATAGCACAGCCAGGGAAAAAAAGACTATCCCCAAAGCCTGCTGTAATAATATTAAATAAGAAACTGAAGGGGTTTGACCAGGAAAATCCCAAGTTCAAAAGAATAATTGCTCCAAGAGATTTAAGCCTACAGCTGAGTCACTAAACCGAAGAAACCTCTCCTTGGCCATAGAAAGCAAACAAATCTTCGGTCATGCAGCAAAGCTTCTGTATGTCCTTGTTAGAAAGAAAGAAGAAATAAGCCAAATGCAATTAATCATAGTCCCAGAAGAAAGGATGAAATCTCTGTAATTAGCTACCTAGGCTCATCTTTCCACTTTTAAAGACTAATCCAGCCTTCTTCTTTCACCTGCCTTGAAAGTCTACTGCAAATACCAAATCAGTTCTCTTCAGGGGTACACACTCACACTCACCTGCAGCCTGTGGTCCCCTAACAGCTTTGCAATAAATGTACAGGGAGGGGGGAACATTTGTAGGGAGCAAACAGAGCTCCTTTTCTTAGTCACCTTTTGTGCATGAGCTGGCATGGTGTTTTCAGACTATCCAAGAACCTGGGGACCTTGGCTGGTCTACAGGCATTATTTTCAAGCTAGGTATTTTATATTTACAATCCAATCCAATGACCAGAAAACACTAATTTTTATTTATTTATTTATTTAAAAAGCAAACAAGACCCCCCCCCAAAAAAAAACAACAGCACAGAAACATGAAAACACTTTCCAAATGGTTAATATTGCAACTGCTTGTGTTAATAAATTGGTTTAAACCTCATCCTCATGTGGTGTAAATTTGCCTGACCATCACTCTACCCATAAAAAGTGTGTTCTTCACAGCTGTATGCACTGTCTGTACAGAGGCAAGTGGACAGAGCTATATATTAACAGCAAGGTCTCCAGCAGTTAAATTCAGTAAGTTGAAGCCAGATGGCAAGCAGCTCCTTTAACTGCAAAAGGAAAAGCCACGCTCTATAGATGAAACATATCCAGTCTAAAAGTCACAATTCCTTTGCTACACGTTCATCCAAAGTTTTGGAAAACATGGGGAAAAAGTATAGTACTTCAGAGAGAGAAGGGCTGCAGACAGTGGCTACAGCTTAGGAGTGGAGGTCAGGACCCAACATCCAAAAAAATCCTATGCGAATCAAAACAAGCCATTCAACTTCCCTGGGGCTCCTTTAATAAATAACAGTTGACAAATATTATTCCAACAATAAAAACAACAACAGACTGGCTCCTTAGGTCAAATGCATCAATGGTAAATACAATACAGTTGCATAATACCAAAATGACATCAGCTGAGGAACTGAGACTGGTTTCTGCCCTGTCTCTTGTACACAAACCACTGCTAAGGTATGAATAAGGCTGTCAACAGACAGGAAAAGCTGGCCAGCTTTGTGGCAAGGGAAAGCAAAGAACAGACTGGACAGAAGTCTCCAGCTTTGCTCTTCCATGACATAGCAGAAATCCTTATTTTCAGAGGAAGGAGAATGGGCCATTCTTCTGTGAAAAAGATGGAAGTAATTATGCAGCTCCAAGTACAGCTGGAGCCTTCCTTTTAAAATGTGGCAGAGAGGGATGATTAACAGCTGATCTGTGGGATATGGCAACAAGGTCAAGGAGCCCCGGGTATGACCATAATGCAACACCCACTGCTTTCCCTCCAGGTTAGTGCTTCAGACACAGTCAGAGGTGCTGGGGATGCTCTGGAGGCTGTTTGGTGGCATGGAGCTGTCTTCACCTGCCAACTCACCAACAGCATCAGCCAAAAGGCTAAAAATCAGTAGGTTGCTCCTCCTTTTCTTTGCACAGAAATCTGGCAGAGGAACTAAGCACAGTGTCAGAGGGAAGGTGGGATCTGATTGCAGCAAAGGTTCTACCAAACACCCAGAGTGATCTTCTCAGCCTCAAGCTGTTGTTTATAAAATCCAATCAGCCCTCTGCATGTCAGGGTGGTCAAGAAGGATCCTGCCAGTGCGTTGGACTTTGTCCCTTTTTAATGGAAATTCCTACCATCCTTCCACGAGGATGCACAGATCTTCATGCAGAAAACGAAATGCTGCCTGCAGACAGGCTGCTTTCCGTAGTACTTCTACAGGACAGAAGAGCCAGCCCCGAAATCTCTGCGATGGGATGGGTACTTCGGCAGTGAGGCATGAACTGCGAGCCGAAGCTGCCCTCCGCCGGATGCAAGGGAAATAACCCACTGTGATGGGAAAGTCAAAAGCTACGTACTTCTCCAAGCGCAGGTCCCTTACTTTTCTGTAATGACCACTAACATTCACTTTCCTCAGTGTTATGTTGCAGGCACTAATGTAAAGGCCAGAAGCTTCCAAAATAAGGGGAGTCTGGAAGCGTTCTGTCGTCTGACAGCATCAAGTCCCAACATTCAAATGCTGGAATGCATTCAACTATCCCTAAATAGTGAATTGAAACAGGGGATTCTCTACTATTACTGATTTTTCCATACACCAGCAACTGATGCACACGCTGGAAAGTAAAACCCCATAATTTTTTGCTAGATAACAATTCTTAAATATGGGCATATAATCACAGATTAAGGTGGGAACTGAAGTAACCTTTATTTTCAGACAGTTGACATGCACAAAGGGACACAATCACTGTATTCAATTAAAAATAATACTAATTAAAACCGTATCCAAGCATCAACAGCTATAAAAACTTTAAAATCCTGAATTATTTGTTATGTACATCCCCAATTTTCATTTTGTGCACTATATTCAACTACAAAATGAATCCTCCTAGCCAGCCTTGTGTCAATTCACAAACACAGAACAAGCACCAATCACAAAATAATTAAAGAAAACCTTTCAGGTTTCAAGTGAGATGAAGAAAACTCCTGAGATTGTCTGCAGCAATTAATTTGACCCAATGCTGCCAAGGTACAGCAGCAAACAGAGTTTTCAGGGGCTACTCCCTAAAGAAGCAAGGTTAAAGTATTCTAATCATTAACCTTTGCAAAGATTTGAGACGCAAAGTAGTATTGCTGCAGCACCTGAATGCATGTGGACACACAACAGGGTTCAGAGAGCAATGTGCGATGCCTAACACCATAATGGAGCATGCCCTAAGCACGTATCACCTCATACAGTCCATGGTGCTTATGGCACTAGGACAAAGATCATGAGAAAAAAAACACACACACAAAAAAAATCAATGACATTTAACTTCACATCCTGGAGTTCATGAAAGTTGATTTTTAACAAGATGGCATTGCAGTACAAAGGAAGGGAGGTGGGACATAGGCTGGTAAGGTGGCCCTGGATCACCATGATGGTGAGAGGCAGTGTCAGGAACACTGGTGGGCAAGCCCACAATGATATCTAGTGGACACTGACCCCTGCCAGGAACACTGACCGACGCTTGCCAGTGACAAGGCAGATTCACTAAACCCAGAGATTCTCCTAGTGATTTTCAACCACTATTCTACACTGTAGCACAGCTCTAATGCTCACAAAGTTCGAAAAAAGTTATTTCCATGCTCACCTGATTCTGCAGAAGCAAGTGTCCATAATAAAAGAAGCAGAGCAAAAAAATGCTCAAAAATTCACATGGGTTTTTGTTAGGTCTTTTTTTGTTCCCCACTAGTGAGATGCTGGGTAATCTTCCAGGAAGGTTATAGCCACGTGTACTACCCTGCCTGCAAAGTTCTCTGACACACTACACGTTTTGTGCTTCCTCTACTAATAATGAACAGATACTGGTACATTCAGTAAGATCAAGCATTTCTTTCCTGTTGCAGCACATAAGAGAAGGTGTCAGCCTGCTACAATGTGCCAGACTGCGCAAAGCAAACAGGGAAATGGCAGGCATGGGCTTCATCTTGCTGTGACAGGGCTAGACCTCCTCACTCTTTTCTCCCGCTGTCCCAGGCTTGTTTTCCCATTTCCCAAGCATCCCCCAAGTGCACCAATTTCCCCACAAGTTTCACACTGCTCCTTATTTCCATTTCTCAGCTGTACAACACTGTTTCTTAAAAGCAGGCTATGTAGTACGTGCTGCTTTCCAGCACACTCAGCCCCAAAGAGAACAACCAGGAGACAGACAGACTCCATTTCCCAATCCAACTTGTTTTTAAATCAATTTAAGTAGACAGAAGATGAGATTTTCAACAAGGTCTCCTTAAAAACCATGGAAGTTCTTTGCAGCAGTACCAAAAGCAAAATTTTGAGTTCTGGTATGATCCTCCACTGCCACCAGCAGTAAGATATCATCAAAAGCTGAGGAAGGAGCAAAATACCCCTTAGCAGCTCCTTCAATGGTTGCAACAAGGCCAACACTGAACAAGTGGGGCACTCACCCGAATTTGGTGGAGAGGACACCTCCTAGGACAGAGCCAATGATGATGCCTATTCCAAAGCAAAGACCCAGCTTCCCCAAAGCATCAGCACGTTGGGAAGGAGTAGTCATGTCTGTAATAACCTTCTGAGCACCTGCGGAGAAAAACAAATCCCTAGAAGAAGCTTGCCACAGGGTCTGAGCAGCAAACACACAAATTTTTAGGACACAGAAACAGCACCTGCCACAGAACTGTCCTTGCACACTGTTGGTGTGGAATTGGTTCAGCTTGTCAGTCATAGGAAACAAAATCACCCAAGCCACTTCACAAAAGGCAAGAAGAGTCTTAACATGCTATCAACCTGTCCTCTTGTGTGAGTTCAGAGACTTCTAGTAGCTAAAGGTTTATGGTTTTTACTAGAAACATCTAGGAAAGATCAACAAAATCAGAACAGTTTAGTGGGTAACTGAAGGTATTTTTGGCAATCATGTTTCATTTTGAACAATACACTCACTTTACCATGAGAAAAGGAAAAGCTTTCCTATAAAATATCATGGTTGCAAGAAGGCAGCTGAGAAGTTTGGGACAGCACTGCTGCCAACAAGTGATTGTCACCTGGGTCTGAATGGTGAAGTCCAAGCAATTTGCACAAGATCATACAGGAGGATGGACCTGGGACTAAAGGCTAATAGCCCTGCTTTCCATAAACTAATAAACCTGTTCCTTCATGTTCTTACCGTTTCACCCCTGATAACCATCAAATGCTCCTCCTGCCTTCCTTCATGCTGTTGAGCCTGTTGACTTGAGCAATGTGAGCAAGGAGCGACGACTCTGGCAATAAAAGCAATTTGGAAAGCCCCTCAGCCCTGATCTACATTACCTGGTAGCCCATGCATGAACACTGCTGGCAGCCTGGAGAGGAAGAGGAGGGGGACGCTCGTGGAGATGGACATAAGCAGGAAGAAGGCACTTCCAGATGCACAGGAAAGAATTAAGGCTGCTCGGGCACCAAATTTATCTGCAAACCTAGTACAGAAATGATACAAGGCTGTCACAAGTGGGACTATGCAGGTCATTGCAAGAGTGATGCACCCAGATGGATGGAGTTGCATGGCCACCTCACTCTCATTCACCATGGGAAGCACTGGTCAGATTCTCAGAAGTGCTCAGTTCCCAAGAGGACTAGATATTCAGAGACGATAATACAAAACAAAACAAGCAAAAAAACCCAACAAATGAAAAACCAAAACAAGCCCCCCACCCTTGCCTGGAGGAGGACTGCAAGGACCGCTGCTGAAGCACCAGCTGCCCACCCGGGAATTCAGGGACATACACTTTGAAACAATGGGGGAATACACCAGCAACTGCCATCTCTTAGCCTATTTCCAGACCCTTCATAAGCGCAAGATAATGTGCTTGCTTAAGCCTCCTGCTCTGGCATTCCAGTGAATAAATGTGGCTGCTAAACACCAGCCACAGGCAGAGGCAATTATAACAGCTCAGCAACTCATTCAATATTATCTTTTCAGAGCATACGGTGCCCTCAAATTTTACTTTGTGAATCTCAGAGTTGGTTCAGACCAGGGAATCAGGCTAGCTAATTTTTTTGGTTCAGGTTCAGAGGTAAGTGAAGTTATTTCAATTTCTTTCCAGATGATGGTCAGAGCAACATTTCTCTTTCAGCATCACTTAAAAAAAATAAAACAAAGGGGAAGTTTTCTATTTATGTTCAATAAAGACTTAATAGTGACTCAATTTTTTTTTTTCTGTTTGAGAAAAAAACCCAAAACAACAAACCAGCTGAATCAGGTTTTGGTTCAGGTTTTATTCAACTCCAAGTTATTTTGAAAAGCTAAGTCAGACAAAGTCTGAGAGTACCACAGAAAGGGTTCTGAGCAACTGGGGCTAAAACAGGCTCTAGACAGCTTTTTTCCACTACAATTCCTCCTTTCTTCATTTTGTTGAAGTTGTATATTACAGTTTGCTATGCAAGGTAACGTTCATCTGCTATTAGTTGTGATTACGCCAAAAGAAACAACCCCCCCAAGAATGCCAAGCCTAGTCTACAAAGTTAAGCATAAGTAATTAAAGGGCTTCACACTGAGAAAGAGGTACAGGTCAAAACTTCACTGTTTACATGAATGCCAGGGAAGTTTATATTAGCTGTTTGTAACTTAAAGACCTTGGCTCACTACATAGTCCAGGGTTGTTTTCTTTTTGTTTTGTTACTGAAGAGTAAATTCAGTGCTTCATCTTCTCCTGGCTGTTTAGGAGCATCAAGCAAGAAGAACAAGAAAAACAGACCTAAGCTACACATTTTTATGTCTCTTATCCCCCTCCTTCCCATTTTCTCTTTATCTACCTTCATACTGAGGTCAAAGCAGCCTCACATCTAGGAAAATCCTTTTTATCTCAAACCTACATTGCAAATTTTGGCTTCAATCTGGCAGTATACACCTTCAGTCCCACCTACACCAGTGGGAACCTAGACCTGGACGGATTCAGGTTTACCGGTTTACCTTTTTCTTCCCTTCAGCATCCCCTCTAGACATTATTGAATGACATGTGCAGAGGAAAATCAGATTTCAGATGGCACCAGATCCAGACCAGAAATATTACTCTAGATTTGTATATTAATAGAAAAAGCATTCAAATTGGCCCCTTGCACTATACCATCTTCATTCTTAGGAATGCATTTTCTTCCAAACTGCACTGGAAAATTTGATGCTATTAACTTTAAAATGTGTTATTATGTTAGCATTGAAGGGCTTTTAGAGATCAGATCCTTGAAGTGCTACACACCATCTACTAGAGGATCTTGTAGAGCACTGAGGCACACAACAGCTCCATATCCATATCCATTTATTACTTTGTTGACCAGTAACAAGACTGAGAAGAAAAGGTAGATTTTCTCATCCTCACTTTAGTTTTCTGAATCTGGATTACACTGCTCTTTCAATTTTTTTCTGCTTTTTGGGAATGTATTCCCCCATCTCACAATTTTTTGGGGGCTGCTTACATTTTATTAGGAACAGAAGCATGTGTCCCATGGGGTAGAGAGGCAGAAACCCTGAGTCCCTTCCACTCTTCTTATTTTTATAGATGAACTTACAGATATATCCATTCTTAAAAATTGATGCAAGTCTAGCTTGCAGTGAGATTCAGCTGTAGAAACAACATGACCCTCAATTATTTTCACTGATGGCTCTACTTAACATCAATAAATACCCTCCTTTTTTTTTTAGGTTTCCCAGTCACAAGACATTTCTTAGATTATACATAGCTATAAAACATTCGCAGGATTAAGCTGTTAAGAGCTGGGCTCTGAAGACTGATAGTTTAAGCCTGCTCCCAGTGTATTGTTACACTTATATGTGTGTCATTAAAACACAGCTAAGTTAATAAAAAGGCTGCTTCTATGTTGCAGTATTTCTAACTATAGTATTTATTCTCCCCTCACCCATTTATAAAATCTTCAAACATTTCAACAGGACCAAGAACCAGAACAATATGACTTTTTACTATAGTAAAAAATGTCTGGCCTTTTTCAGCTAGGTAAAAGGCCATGAGAATTGTTCTCTCTTACCTCCCAAAAATGGAACCTCCCACAAGCTGGAGGACACCAAAGGTTGTCTGGAGGTAGCCAAAACCCACTGAATCCAAACCTATGCTCTTGGCCAAGTACTAAAAAAGAAAAAACAAACAACAAAATCAATAGGTCAGAGGAAACGAGGTATGCTATATTTCTGAATAAAGACCTTACTGTTTTGGTTGAGAGAACTACAGCTCCAAACAAGCACTTCCTGCAGTTCCCCATACCTACAGATGAAATCTTCACTGGGTCAGACACCGGCTGCACATCCAACGAAGAGCAACAAAGTTAGTGAAGTGTGTAGAGCATAAGTTGCATGAGGAGCAGCTGAGGGAACTGGGGCTGCTCAGCCTGGAGGATAAGAGGCTGAGCAGAGATCCTATTTCTCTCTACAACTACCAGAAAGGAAGATGAAGCAAGGTGCGTGTCAATCTCTTCTGCCAAGTAAGAAGCAATAGGACAAGAGGTAACAGCCTCAAGTTGTGCCAGGGGAGGTTCAGGTTGGGTATTAGGAACAATTTCTTCACCAAAAGGTTGTCAAGCACTGGAACAGGCTGCACAAGGAAGTGCTGAGTCACCATCCCTGGAAGTATTTAGAAGATGTATAAATGTGGCACTTAGGAACATGGTTTGGTGGTGGACTTGGCAGTGTGTGGTTTATGGTTGAACTCGGTGATCTTAAGGGTCTTTTCAATCTAAATGATTCTATGATTCTACAAAACCAGGCTGCCCTGGGTTCAGCAGTAGCAGTCATTTTTTCTCCTTCTTGGTAGCTGGTGCAGTGCTGTGTTTTTGACTTTTGGCCTGGGAACGGTGATGATAGCACCAATGTTTTTAGTTACTGCTCAAACGTTTGGTCTGGCCAAGGACTTTCTGAGTCTCATGCTCTGCCAGGGAGGAGGGGAGCCAGGAGGAAGCAGAGACAGGACACCTGACCTAAACTGACCAAAGAGGTATTCCATACCACAGCACGTCATGCCCAGGATGTAACTGAGAGTTACCCAGAAGGGCTAGGACTGTGTGGTTGGACAAGGTATCGGTCGGTGCTCGGTCGGGTGGGGTGGGGCAAGTTATTGGTTGGCGAGTGCTGAGGTGTTGTAATTCTCTTCCTTTGTTATTTCCTTTATCATTATTATTATTGGTGGTAGCAGTAGTGATTTGTGTTATACTTTAGTTACTAAACTGTTCTTATCTCAACCTGTGGGAGTTGCATTCTTTTGATTCTCCTTCCCATCCTTCTGGGAGCAAGGGAAGGGCAAAAAGGCGGGGGGGGGAGTGAGAGAGCAACTGTGTGATTCATGGCTGACTTTGTTTAAACCATGACACAGGCAGAAAAGTCCAGCGAAAAGAAATGAATCCTACTCATGGCTGGTTTATTACACTCTCAAAAAAAACCCACCTCTGCTCTCAAACCAATGCTTTCTGCTGCCTGCTCCTTGGGTCACCCTCCCACTACAAGCAAGAAGATACAAAGCACATTAGTTCCACCCAGAGCCATCAGGCCAGGAAAGGTCTCTAGGTGTTACTACAGTACAAATAATAAACTCGCTTTTACTGCCTGGGCATATACTGAACACAGTCACAGCTAGGTAGGAAAACACTTTCCTCTCTCTTGCTAGAAAATCTCTAGATAGCTTTCCTGGAAAATTACATAGCCTAGCACTTGAAGGCAAGGCGTGCTGTGAAACAAGATAACCCATACTCACAGGCATGACTCCCATCTGCATGAAGATGAAGGTCAGCTCTATGGTTACAATCACATAGGCAGCAAGGATCACTTGTCCCTTTTTGATGTCTCCTGAGCGGCTGCTCTCCCCCAGGGTCTTACTCCTCATTCCCGAGGCTTCTTCCTCACCTCCAGAGCTGACTTTCACATTTATAGTGCTCATGGAACAATTTACTGCAGGCTGATGGGCTGAGAAATGACACAAAGGTGATTTCAAGCTGGGAACATGAAGCGTCAGTAAGGCACAGAAACTGTTGCATGCAGTTCAAAGCTTACAGTTCAAAAGGTAGTGAGTCAGCATGACAGGGATTTATTCATTCTTTCTTTGTTTCTTCCCTCCCCTTGCTTTCTTGCCAGGCAGGATTAAAGGTAGCCATGCATCAAACCACAGATCTCGTTCTTCAGCTTTGTCCCAGGTGGGCTCATTGCTTCAAGTACCATCTAAACTAAGACCAGCTTGAGAGTCCCAGCAGAGTGAAAGCGGACATTGACCCAGACAAGAACACGTGACAAAATCTTCAACTCTTTAACTGTTTAACTTCTTTCACTTTTATTTCCTCTGGTGGCTCAGAAGAGATGACTGTTGCAGTTCTTCACAAAAGGCACTTTGGTTTTATTTTTGGAGATGCAAGTGAAGCTTACAATAGAATAGCTATTTCTAAGTCCTCTTGCTTCTTGCAGCAGATTTACACAGATCCTAGAACAAACACAGATCTTACATGCAGTTAGAGGTGCTCTCATCAACATCTCTACTTGAGCCGTTTTCCCTCTTTCACCAGGTGCTGCAAATTTATTAGAGACTGAGCTAGCAAATGTTCACATGTGATTTCACTCAGAATACAAATTACCAGCCAATGCCAGAAAAAAATAAAAATAAAAATAAAGCATTAAATCCACACAAATCATGAGGCTGACTGCAAAGTGGGGAATTAAATAAACACAACTCATTTGTCATTTGGGGGTTTTATTTGTTTGCTTGCTTGTTTACTTAGGGTTTTGTTTGTCTGCTTGCTTGTTTACTTGCTTAGGGGTTTCTTTGTTTTCTTACTTGTTGAATCCTGGTTTCTTACTTATTGAATTCTGGTTGAGCATTGTCTTTATTTTAAAGAGAAGAAAAAAGCAGAGGTCTCAATGCTCTGATTTTGTAGAATTACAGGACTTTTGGTAGTAAGGGATCTCAGGAGATCTCATCTGCTCTCCTGCTTGAATATATCAGCTGAGCTGTGGCTTTTTCTAGATAAGCTTTGCAAATCTCCAAGAAAAGAGATCTGCCCCTCACCGAGTGTGTGGGAAGAAGGTTTTCCTAATGTGCAATCTGAATTTTTCAAGCTGTGGTTTGTGGCCATTGTCTCTCATTGTACCAACTGCCACTACCAAGAGGAGTCTGTCTGCATCATCTCTGGAGCTGTCCTTCAAGCAGTTGCAGGTGGCTGTTAGGTCACCCCAATCTCCTTTGCCAGACTGAACAAGCCAAATTCCCTCCACCTGTTTCAAAGACTACATACTCTAGATCCCTGATCTTCCTAGTAGCCCTTCAATGGGTCCAACCCAGTTTGTCCACAACTCTCTTGAACTGGGAGGCCCAACACTGGGTCAGCCTCAACAGCACCAAGCAAAGGAAGACTAACAACTTCCCTGGATGTTCTGACCATGTTCTTCCTCAGATGGCCCATTACATACTTTGCCTTACTCCTGATGAGCATGCACTATTGATTCACACAGCATCACCGCCACCCATGGTCTTCATGCTGGGATTGCTACACGTCCAGTTGGTCTCCAGCTGTCATTGATGCAGGTGGATATTCTGCCCCAGGCTTAGGGCAAATTGTCCCCGATTTCAACTTGATGAAAACCCTGAGGTTTTGGTTGATTCAGCTGTGACACTTCAAGCGGACTCTCCAGTACTGACCATATCAGCCAGTCCCTCTGATTTAGTAACACCTCTGCTCAGAAATGGAGGGCCAACTCACTGTGAAGGCTGACATGGGCACATCAACACAGGGACACAACACAGACATTTGTTGGCTTGGGTCCAGTGCGGTTGTCAGGGCCCTCACGCTTCTGATGAAGCCCTGGGAGAGGGAACTATAAGATCTCTGGGCACACCTTGTTATTCAACACATGTCACCACAGAGATCCAGGATTTGGTGAGGGCTGCCAGGCCCTCCTGGCGAAGGAGGAAGATGACCAAAGGTTTAATGTTTCACCAGGGGTGGGTACCATACCTCTGGAGGCTGAACAGAAAAAAACTTTTGCAATCTCAGCCAGTGCATTAATAAAAAAGCACCTTTAAAGAATGACTTTCCTACATGGATACCAGCACTCAAACAGACCCAACAAACAATGCCCTAGAAATTGTACCTGCTGCTGAAGAAGGAAGATTACCCAGTGTGTATCCCAACTTAGCAAAGGATCAGTGCTCAACATTTGGTTCATCTCAGTGTGCCTGAGATGGATTTGCCTGCACTTGAACACCCTGCAGCACATCACCAACATCATCACTCTCTGGTTTGTGCTGGACAAGCATGATTTACAAATTACCAACATTGAATAGAAGAGTCAAATTAATGACAGAACTCTGTTTATGAGGGTTTTGAGACAACCAAAAAAGCAACTCATGCAAATGCAATGTAAAACACTGCTTACAGGAAACATTGCTGACTTGGACTTGAAAAGCATCAATGTTTTGACTGGTGAGTTTGTCTCAGCAGCAACTGGAAACAGATCCCAGCAAGGCTACAGAGGGAAACAATGACTTGCAGATGCAGCCACTCGCCACCAGATCGAGCCTCATCCTGCCCAGGGCATGCAGTGCAGACAGCTAACCACTCAGATTTAGCTGGTTTTTACTGGCATTGACAAGGGAAATAGAATAAAAAAAAAAACCTGGAGTTCAATTTTCAGCCTCAGGGGTAAAAGCCACAGTTCTGAAAGACAGGGACCTAAGCTCAATGCCTGCTGTGGAGGTGACCATGGAGAACGAGCTATGATCACCAGATTTAGGGTATGCACCCATACCTGTGGCAAGTGTGAGAGCTGGCTGGAAATGCCAGAGAAAGAATCACTGCTTCTTGGATACAGCAGAGCCCTCATTTCCCTTTGCAAAGAGAAATTGTATTTCTATGGGCTGTGTTCTGGGAGTGTGCCAGGAGGGACACAAGGTGCAAGAGGAGTAGTTACAAGTATACCTCATCTTCCTGCCCAAGAAGAAGCAATGATAACCCTTCCCTTCCTTGCAAGAGAACCCCACCATAACCGGTAAGGTGTGCAGATACTCAACGAGAGACATGTAAAGCCTTTATGGATACACAGCCCTTAGGGAGCTATCATTCTGGTGATGTTTCTTAAGATTTACAATACAAGAGAGGAAATGGAAGAACTATCTCAAAACAATTCCCCAACAGTGGGAATGCTGAATTGCCACAATGAGGGAAACTGCTTAACACCAGCCGTGGTTGGTGGGAGCCATCAAATCCACAGGATCCAGCCCTAATGCTTCTCTTCCCTTGACCCTGACACTGAGGGAACCAGCCTCATTTGTAGTCTGGTGAAAGATTTATACAGTTAAGCAAATAAGAGCATAGACGGCCTGGTAATACCAAAATTATTTCCCATATTTGTTGACTGATTTATTCCTTTGTCTAATTGTGAAAGCAGCTCACTAATGAATGGAAAAAGACTCCATATGGCCAGCAAGAAAGAGCCATGTTTAGTTTACAAAATAGCACAGTCTTTGGGGGATTTTCATAAAAAATAACAGAGACAGTCCAAATCGGCAATGAAATCAGATTCCCGGTGGCTGCTGAACTTTTGGCTTTTTCTATGTGTGTATTAAATTACAAAAAGCAATTATTTATAATTTGTTTTTCTAAAAATGCTTGTGCGCTTATTCTGCCTGGCGAATTATTTTGTGAAATGGAAAAGGCTATTGTTCATTCTTTTGGTAAAGTCTTTGTTACTTAGCATATTAAACTGAAAATGACATTTTATCTGAAATATGGCTGGTTGTTATTAACTTTTTAAATGGTAAAGTCCCAAAGCTCCAGCTAATATCAAGGCCCCTTTTCATGCTCTGCAAACAAAAAATAGGTTGAGACTCAGATGGGGGAAAAGAATTAGATCCTCTTTGTCTTGCAGATGGGACCCTAACAGAGGGGTTTAATGACCTCCCTGAAATCACAGAGGAAGTCTGTGGAGGAGGCTGGAGTCAGACTATATCATCCCTTGGATGCCAGTCCCATTGTTTAACCATAGGGCAGTTTCTCCTCTCTAATATTCTGGAAAAATTAAACCAAAAGAGAACATTTCTGGACGCTGGAATTTGACAACAAAATATGCAGATGGGGCACAGACTGTGTCAATTGTATAAGAGTTTTGGAAAAAACCTGTGGCCCAAATTCAGGAGAGTTACACCAAGAATAACATGCCCAAATAGGAAGAGAAAACTTAGTTCTTTGTGCCCATCCAGTCTCATTGGCTCCAGCAGGATCTTGTCAGGGAAGGAGACTCTCATACCTGCTCACACTGAGTGGCACCTAGCTTAGGCTGACCTCAGCTCAGCCAGAGGACACACCTTTGGAGTCATAGCCCAGGTGCTGCTATGGCTGTGGCCTACCTCTACCCCAAAATCTCTCCTGAGCAAACAGAAGCTCCTCAAGGTTCGATGAACAGCTGCCATGCAGTGGAGAAGGGCTGCTGGGCTGGCCCTGACCTTCTCCTTCAAGCCAAGATATCAAATGACATCAGCCTCTATTGGCCCACTATGCTAGGACATTAAAGAATCGGCAAGAAAAAAATGTCTCTTCCCTTAGTGAAAGCCCAGGTCTGCTGTGTAAACTCTCCTGGGCAACGGACGATCTCCCCCAGACTCGCCATTCTTCCTAATGCTCAAGCCACACTTGTTGTAAGCAAACATGATACAGCCATATATGTAGAAAACTGATTAAAGGAGTGGTTGTATCATTGGCTTCTGGGCAGGGTCCATGCAAAACTGCACAGGCTAATAAGCAATTAAGCCCAAAAGCAGTGGATACTTCTGCCGCCTCTGTGGTTGTGTCTTCAGCTTACTGGCATGTTGACGTGATTGAACTCCAGGCGACTCACTGTTGGATAATGGATGAAGCCCTTGTCTCCAAGATACACACAGTGCACTTGAAGTCCAAGGTTTATAGCCAAAGAATATGCTAGATGTGACAAAACCGGATACACACACACAAATAAAGCCTCATACTTAGCCTGCAAAATGCAGTATTTCATTCAACTGGTATTATACAGCCACCTTCTGGAATCACAGCTATGTCTGGAATGTAAAAGCTGTTTATCATTTAAATAACATTTAAGCCATTATAATTTATATGAGAATTGTAACTGCTGGGGCTGTATGGAGCTTCTTGTTGTGGTCTGCCATAGGAATGCTGCAGATTTCCTCTGCACACATTACATTCTGCACACAATGAGAGCCCCAGACATTTTCAGCCAGTCTTGAGCCTCCTGCATTTACCAAAACATTTTCCTGTGTCACAATCAAACAACTGCCTAATTTGTAACTCTCAAGCATTCAAGAGACC